ATTAGCAGCTGATCTTTTTAATGGCGCTCAATTTGAACGTGCAAAACGCGGAAATTATACTAGTAAATACTTAATATTATTAAATTACTATAAAAATAGTAACAATTAAAATAATTAGTTTAATTATTTGGATGTTTGATATTATTTATGTACATATTTAAAATGGGAGGTAGATCAAAATCTGTTATATTATTAATGCATTTATCACCATGTTCAATTTTACATTTTTTAATTTCAAATTTCTCAAACCAATCTAATTCTTTCCCTTTGTTGAAACTATGTAACACTCTTGTATTTAGATTTAAATTGAAATTATGTTTTGTTTCTTTTAGATGGTCCTTATATTCCGAAAATTTGCTCGATTTAGGCAAGTGTTCTTTTACTCTTGTTTTTCTTTCTCTACCGCTTTGTCCTATATATTTAATATCACAATCATTACAATTGTCTTGGTAAACCCCGCTTTTTGCCAAGTTGTCTACTTTGTCTTTAGGTTTTGAGAGGATGTTTTTAAGTGAACCCGTACTTCTAAAAGCTATTCTAAAACCGTCTTGTTTAAAAATTTTACTAACTTTTTCCGATAATTCACCAATGTATGGCAAACAACGGAAACCTAATGATTCATTTGTGGTGGGGTGGCTGAGTCCTATTGTCGTTTCGTTCAAAGTTAATTTTTTTATTCTTTTAACTAGCAACCTATCAATAAATATTTCTTGATACCCGTTGTTTTTTGCTAAGGTTTTAATAGGTTTTAATCCTTTTTTATAGTTATCAGGTGTTAGCGGAAGTTTTAACATCCGGTCTATGAGCCAAATGAAACCAGAAGCCTTTTGGGACCATGGGTGGGAGTAGGAACTATCTTTTTAAAAAGGAACACCACACTCACTCCATCATTTATCATTTCTATTGCTTTGCTATGCATATTTATCGCGAATGTCCTCGTATTGAGATTACAATCGCCCCATCCTTAACTCCACATGCATCCCATCTCTCGACCGTATGGTCCCAAACCTATCATCGCCATTTTCCCTTAATATCTCCCTTCATCTACCATCATCATAATCCCACGAACGAATCATCCCTCATTGTCCCCGGAAGATTCCATCATCTCACTAGCATCGCCGCCTGGAATGCATCATCTCATTACCATCACCAGTTGGATTTCATCATCCATGATGATCATCATCGACGCTGCAGGAACCAGGCCGGTGCACTGGCCTAGTCATCGCCGAACAACGCACTATATCGCATTCAAAGACATTCATCGCTCATGGCCTTCATCGCTCGCAGACCGTCATCGCCTTCACGACTTCATCGGCCATCTTGTAAGCCATAGAGATGTCATTAAACAATGAGTCTTCAATTACTCCTTATTTATTTATTCCTTCATTTAATTCTTCCTTTACGTAACATCTCCTAATCAATCGAGAATCTTCCATTCCCGTTGGTGCCGAAACTATCTTCTTATTAATTTAAACTCCTATCTCCGGCGGTGTTCGTCGGCGCCATTTTGTATTTGGCTGGCGAACATCATCGATGATGAGAAAACTTTTTGTGTGTCATAAAAAAAATCAATATTAAAATAGAGCTGAATAGAGAGTGAGTGCTATGTAATAAACTTGTTATTTTGAACAATGGAATTTTGCCAAAAATATATATTTCTTTGAATGGAGGGAGAGAAAAAATAATTATACGCAAGGGGTTTAACGAGAGATAGAGAGAATAAGCTGTAAATCAATATAATACTTTTGAGAATGGGATAAAGAGAGTGGGAAAGCGAGAAAATATTTGGCCTCTCTCTTTCCCTTTCTCTCTACCTCTGTAATATTGTTTGCGTCAAGCATAAACCCAGTGAATTGGTAAATAAAAGTCCCGAAGAGCTAATTTACGCGAGTTCTCTGAAAAGCTCCGGTATCTCCCCGGTTGTGTTTCTACGAAATTCAAATGATATGGATTTAGCATTAATATCAAGAGTGTTTTTTTCCATTTTCCCTGAAAGTTACGCTTTTTTGTTCACATACGCTGAGGCTTTTGTAAGGGGAAAGTTCGACTGGCGGCTTTTTCCTGTTATATTGCTGAATGTAAAAGTCGGTTAAATGTTTCAAAATTAATGATTTTTTGTCAGCCTCAGAATACAGAATCAACATAAATATTTAATATATTTAGATATTTATTTAGAAATCGTGAGATGCGGTCTGGTGTGATGTAGGTTTCAGAAAATCATTTTCTTTATCGTGCCAACGTTTAGAAATACTTTGATTGAATATATAAAAAATATATTTTGCATTGTATAAATTCACTTTTCCACATCCAAAATGTAATTGTTATATGTAAACAATGTTTGTAAATCCCAGGCTCTGAAGATGATCTCAATAAAGATCGAAACGTTGGCACGATAAAGAAAATGTTTTTCTGATACCTACATCACACCAGACCGCATCTCACGATTTCTAAATAAATATTTAATATGATTTTTCATCTTTTCGTTTAATATTATTTAATTATTATTAACCCAATTCGTTAAAGATTCACGTATGTAATGCATGGGTAATGGCATTCCGTGTTAATTATTAAAGTTAACAACGGGCAGGACGTAAATAAACCGAATTGTTTAAATAGTCCAGGAAATAGTAAATTACACTTTCCAGTATTGAAGAAATTCTACAAAATGTCGACACTGTTGTTTTTCTTTTTATATGCACACCAAATTCAAAAAGATGTAAAACCCTGTTTTTTTAAGAACATTTGCTTTAACATAAAAATAAGTTTCAGAAGTACACAATTGATAATTTAATTTTTATGTTGTTAGTTTTTTAAATTTTAAAATGGCATTTAATAAACCCTCTCTTGCTTTCATGTTTGATATACTCATAAAGTTTTCGTAGAATATCCTGAGGTATAATTGCTTCCCTCAAATACAGCTGCATTTAATATTTCAAGGGCTGTAGGGGGTTGATCCCTGAGCGAACATTTTTTTTGAGATTGTCCCAAATGTATTAGATCGGTTTAAAATTAAATTGGCTTTGATTTTCAGGATTTGGTACCAACCTGGTACGTGCCTCCCCATCTGGACTGTTAAGGGCTAGTTTCGCTTCATCAGTGAATAATTTTCTGTTATTGATGTTCTCCATCAAATCTTAAAATGTTACAGACGTGGGAACACCAATTTTATTGAACTTCTTTTAGCTGGGCCGAAAAATATTACATGCGTTTACTATGTGCCAATGTGCCCTAGGAATTGACATAAAAATTTAAGGAATTCACACAGTAAAAAAAAAAAATCAGCTTTGGTTGTGCATGTATTTCAATGTTATTGGGTTGGTGCAAAATTATTGCAGGTTTTGAAAATTTGTGTTATTTTTGCAGTTACTTGTCACGTAAACAAAACAAAACCTCAAATCTAATTTATGGATTATAATAAATACTATCAACCGTTATCTTTTTTATGCGGCCAATTATTTCTTTCAATTAATTAATCTTTTAATGTAAGGTTTTTGGTTGAAATAAAAAAGTTAGTGCCACGAGCGAGATTCGAACCCACGACCTTCGGCTAGATACGCCGCTGCTCTACCACTTGAGTTATTTAGCCAAATGTCGTGGGTTCAAATCCCGCTCGTAGCACTAACTTTTTCATTTCAACCAAAAACCTTGCATAAAAAGATTAATTAATTTTAATTTATATTGATTTTTATAAAAGTGAGGCCGTGCGAAATTAAATATATAAAAACTAGATTTTTGACAAATTTATTTGTAAGAATTTAAACTTGGGCGAAGTGCGGCCTAAACCGTTTAGGTTATTTCCGAGTTATTTCCCTTTCTTTCCCATTCCTTTTTGGTGCCCAGATGTATTCGGAATTTTTGGTTAAATTCAAACCTCCTGTTCATGTCATCTATTGGAGCCATGAGTGATGGATGGTTTTTCCACAGTTTGTTTCTGTCTTTCCATTTCAGTTTTATTCCTGTTGGAGGTTTCTCTCTAATAAAGTTGATTATGCTTTTCTGTGCTGTCCTTTCTACCATGTGATGTAGGGGGATTAGTCCCAATAGGACATGTTCTCATTGCTCCCGTTATGGAGATGCATGCAAGTCTGTATTTTTGTGAGTTCTTTCCTTTTGGTTATTTGTTCCGCTTTATCATCCCAGGCTATAGCTAAGATCAAGGATAAGGCAAATTTGAAAGAAAAAACAATCAGTTTTTTTGTCAGACTCTTATCTCAAATCCTGAAAAAGATGTATTCCTCGAAATCTGACGAAAGAACTAAGAGTTTTTCTATCTTTGCAATTTGCTTTATTTTTCCCCCATTTTGATTACAGAATGCTTATAGAAGACAGAAAAAAACCCATTAAATTCTACAGCCCACTGAGTATTACGTTTTATTTAAAAATCAAACAAGATTATAACCATTTGTAAATATTAGGACTGTTTAACCCTTGATAATGAATTACTTTGGTTCATGGTTAAAATCGTTTTTAGGGTAGAGCAAAGAAGAGTAAAGAAAAATCTCGAAATTATTAATACTTCGACCAAACTCTCAGCCTTAAAAAGCTGAGCATGCTAAACCAGCCCGACATCCCCGTCTTGCTGGCTTAGCGCTGCCTTTTAGTCTCAACCAAAGAAAGGATTTTTTTATTCTCCTATCGGCAAATCTACCAATAATAATAAAGACAATAATAATATTTATTATTATTATGGAATAATGTAAAAATGTAAAAATAGGACTTTTTTTTGCCATGAATGGTGTTTTTAATCGATGATTTACATATGGTTTCATTTTTAATTTGAATTTCTTGGTTATGCATTAACTTTTAAACAAAATCTTAAACTTGTTGAATACTTTAGAAGGTATTTTCTCAAGTAAGTTAAGCAGATTTTGAATAAATAGAAATTATTTATTAATTTGTATTTACCAAGGGGAAACGATTTAATATTCCAAATTCTTGTTCTTTCGTCGTTTTCAAACTTTTAAAAGGCGCACTTTTTCTCAGGGATAAAATAAAAAATGTAAATACGTAAAATTTAATTAGAAATAAATATATTTATAAATTATAAATACTGACAGAGGATGGATCACGTGTGGCTCTTAAAGGAACCAAGTATTTAATTTATTAAATTATATACTTAAAAGATTTTTAAATATATACAATATATTTACAATTTAGAAAAAGTGATTTTCTTAAGATTCTATAACTATATCTTCAGAATAGGCCTTATTCACCGTTCCGTTCGTGGTTTCTTTTTTATTTTTTCTGCGAAAAATGAAAAAAAAATAGTTTGAATCAAAATTTAAGTTTTTTACAACTTAAATTTAAATCGCTTACTTTCCAAAGTGTTCACCGTCCTCTAGTGAGACGGGAAGAATGGTGTTGAGCGTTTCTGGAAGCATTAGACAAAGCAAGGCAGCAATAAAACTGCTAGCGCCGAACATGGCAGCAGGGATGTTCGGATTGACCTGATCCTTTGGTTTTAAACAAAACGAATAAATATTTCGTTTAAAAAAAATTAGACAGTTCTTCAAATATAATTATGTATATAATTTATGACTCGTGGAAATAAAATTCTGTCATTATTACTTACAAGTGAGGCTATGAAAGGTGCCACCATTGAACCTACACGGGCACACATGGAACCAGATCCGAGACCGGTGTTTCGCACTACGGTCGGAAAAAGTTCAGTCGAGTAGAGGTAAAGGGTTGTGAATCCGACTGCTACTCCGGTCACACCGAGGGTGGCCAAGCCTACTTTGTACCATTCCGCGTAGGCAACGGCTAAGACAAATAAATAAATTAAATGGCAAATTTTATAGGTTTTTTTTTTTTACTCACAACGAGGTATGAGGATGATTATGAGGCAGGATATAGCTCCGACGAACTGCCCGACGAAAAGGGTCATCCGCCTGCCGAGTTTGTCCATCGTGTAGATCGACGCCAATACACCAGGGATTATGCAAGCGCCTGAAATATAAAATATTCTATGTTTTTTAGGTGTATCACGGAATTTTGAATTATTATTGCCAATTATATTGATTTGAGCAGGATTGCAGTTTTTGAGGTATGTTCCGATGCCTTTCCTAACTAAAAGTCGGTTAAGTTTCCGTTTTTCCAACTTTTAAAATAAGCAATAGTCCAGTATAAATGTTTATTAGTTTCCTAAATTCTTGCCTGCTAAGAGAGGGGCAGATTTTTTTCCTGACTGACCTGTTGAGGTGGTTGGTTTACTGATATTCAAACCCTGTTTCTTGCTTTCAATCCACTTTTGTCTTATTTCTCTCTCTCTCTCTCTCTCTCTCTCTCTCTCTCTCTCTCTCTGTATCTCTCTCTCTCCCTCTTACTCAGTCTATCTGTTTCTCACTTACAGACTAGTTGCTTGAGATGAGTATGTATTTATTATTGTGTCATTCTTTCCCGGCCGCTTAAGTTCTTTCTTACTAGTTCAATTTTGCATTTTTCTCAATCCCACTCCTCTTCTTTTTTATTTCTCACTTACTCATCATTTACGCCTTTGCTGTTCACTTTTTCCCTCTTTCTTCCTTTCAATCCACTTTGTCTTATTTCTCTTTCTCTCTTTCCCTATGTCTTTCTTTCTTTCTATCTATTTCTCATATACAGACTTCTTATACAGCTTGAGATGAATATGTATTTATTATTGTGTTTCTTCTTTTTTATTTCTCACTCACTGGCTGACAATTTTCCCTGTTACTTTTTCTCTCTTTCTTGCTTTCAATCCTGTTTGTCTTATTTCCCTTTCTCTCTCTCCCTCTGTCTTTCTTTCTTTCTATCTATTTCTCACATACAGACTTCTTGTACAGCTTGAGATGAATATGTATTTATTATTTTATCATTCTTTGCGAACCGCTTAAGTTCTTTTTACTAGTTCAATTTTGTATTTTTTTCTCAATCCCACTCCTCTTCTTTTTTATTTCTCACTCACTCGCTGACACTTTTTTCCCTCTTTCTTGCTTTTAATCCACTTTGTCTTATTTCCCTTTCTCTCTTTCTTCCTATTTATTTGTCACATACAGATTAGTTATACTGCTTGAGACGAATATTTATTTATTATTATGTCATTCTTTGCCAACCGCTTAAATTCTTTCTTACTAGTTCAATTTTGCATTTTCTTCTCAATCCCACTCCTCTTCTTTTTTATATCTCACTCTCTGGCTGACACTTTTTCCTGTTCACTTTTTCCCTCTTTCTTGCTTTCTTATTATCTTCTTACCTCTCTTGTTTTGTTTGTCTTCATACATCCCTTCTCATACTTTCTGTGCGTCTCTCTTTCTTTCTGTTTTAATTACTCGCCGGTCCTTTCTTTGTCTATACCGTTCTCTCTTTCTTCCAATTGCTTTCATGTTATTTTCCTCCCTCTCCTGTGTTTACCTTTTCTCTCTGTCTCTCTCTTTTCCTATCTCTTCTTGTTTGTACCTCTATCTTTCTTTCTCTATGTACCTGAGTTTGTCTCTGTGCCTTTCTCTCGTATAGTTTCTCTTTTTCTCTCTTTCTTCCTACGATTAACTACTCGTTATCGCACACTCCCTCTTTTTGCCTTAGTCTCCACTTCTCTACTTCACTGGTCACATTTTCCACATTCTTTCTCTTTCTCTCAATTTTCTCGACATACTTCTTCGCCCCTCACTCACACCTCCATCTCTCCCTTTTTCTACTTCCTTTTCTTGTGCGACTAGGAAACTAGAGTAATCCTACGAAATATGATTAATTTTTTCACCCTAGAAAAGACTCTTTACTCAATTAAATGCTAGGATATTACCGTTGAAGAAAATTTTTTGAAAATCATTTTATAATGCTTACTCGAGATGGCGACATTTGCAAAAATGTTTCCACCGACTTGGCTCAAATATTGTTCCAGGCCAAAAAAGCACAATCCGACGTTGGACCAATTCACCCAGACGACGAGAGTTTTCTTCCTCATGTTGGGCGTCCTGAACAAGCCTAAGATTCCGACCTTTTCAGCCGGCTTTTCTTCTTCTTCTTCCCTTTTCTGAAGTAAAAAAAAAAATAATAATAATAATTGCTAACATAGTAGTTTTGTAAGTTTACATCTTGTTTCAATTCGGGAAGTTTTTCCGGACGTTTTCTTTTATTCTGCCTCGCGGCTTCTTCGAGTATGGCAAGGGCTTCTTTATCCCTTCCGACTGCCATGAGCCACCTGGGGCTTTCAGGAATCAACCTGGAAAAAACACGAAATGTATTAGAATATTAATATATTCATTTTTGAAAAATGAAATGTAATTTTCCACACTAGACTTGGATATAATGAAATTTCGCCTCAGGGCTGAATATCGAATCGTATTTAATTAAATTTTCCAATTGTGGTGAAATGTTTCGTTGAAAAGGAATTGAAAACGACGAAATTACTTTTACTGAAAATATCGTCCTGGGGCATTGACTTTATCAGAATAACATTTAGCATGTAGTATAAGGGGAAAGTTTCATTTTGTATATATCCATGGAGTTATGAACTTACCAGATAAAAAGCCACGTGGTGCTTGCTTTAAATTTAGATCGAATTACTTCGTACTCTCAAACATTGTAACCTAAAGATACTTTTATAACAAATTTATACATCTACAAATCACTTCAAAACAATTCACCAACGGCCCCGAAACTGTACGTATCTGTAAAAACTCATAAACCCCCTAAGACCCCCTTTTGTAAATTCCCCCACATAAAACATGACAACATACCTAATCAACATCACAGTTAACACATATAACGTAAAAGATTCTTTTCATTTCATTAACAAAATTAATAATATCCACATCCGCTCACACTACTGTCTCATATCCCTAGATGTTTCATCGATGTTCACCAACATCCCAATAGACACAACACTGAACATTATTAAAAATAAATGGCCCAACATAACACCACACACGAGTCTATCAAAAAACACGTTCATAACAATGGTTCGACATGGATATTTTACATATAGCAATTAATTTTACAAATAACTATTTGGTATAGCCATGGGTAGCAACCTAGGCCCGATACTTGCAGAATTATGACACATACTAAATACAGTCATACCACAACTTCCTTTCACATTACCCTTCCTCACTAAATACGTAGATGATATATTGACAGCAGTTCCCACAGATCAAATTCAAACTACATTAGATACATTTAATAGCTTTCACCCACGCCTACAATTTACACATGAAATCGAAAACAAACAAAAAATACCATTTTTAGATACACTCGTAATAAAACAACCAAATTAATCACAGATTGGTATCAAAAACCAAGAAACACAGATCGCTACCTCAACTTTACATCTCACCGTCCTCTTCATACAACAATAAACACGTCCAAAAGGTTACTTCACAGAATGATTACCCTAAGGCATGAATCATTTCACCACAAGAACATAAAGATATACAAACAGATCCTCCATAACAATCTCTACCCTAAGCACATTATTAACAGAATAATCAACAACTACAACTCAACACTAACACCATCCACTATTACTAATAATACTACATTAAGTCTGTCAAATAAAAACAAACCAGCATACATTTCCATGCCATTTATTCAAGGCCTATCACATAATTTTTTTTTTAAATAATTTGTAGTACATTACAACTACCTTAGAGTAGGTAATAAGTAACAGTAAGCAAGGTAATTAAAACAAGACAAAATTAAAACCAAGAGTGGAGAAAAAACCCATTGGTATTACTCCAATGTTACAATAACATTGTTCAATTGATACGTGTGTCATTTTCACTTTCACTGTCATCACCATCACTTCATAGCAGATCTCGCGGCCATTGTCTCTTCACTAGGCGGGGAGGGTTTGAGGGATTCGTCGGGATGCGAGGTTTCTGATGTTTGGTTTACGTCAGTTGGGAGGTTTTTATGAAATTTACGGTAACAGAAACGTATTTCATCTTGTTCGAAAGGAATATGTAAATCTGTATGTGTAGTTTGGTTCGATACATAAAATGGAGCATCTAGTATTTTTCGTAGTATTATAGATTGGGCAGTTTGAATGCGGTGGATATTGGAATGCTTGGCTGAACCCCACACTTCCAGTCCGTAAGTCCAAATCGGCTTAACTATGGTGTTGTAAAGCAGCCTTTTATTTTTGAGCGGTAAATTAGAGCGTTTGTCAAGAAGTCGTGCAAGAACTCTAAATCGTGTCATAACCTCATGACGTTTCAGTCTTGTGTGAGGATTCCACGACAGGCGTTTGTCGATGTACAATCCGAGGTACCGCACCTTCACATAAATTAAACACATTTCTCTCGTCTGATAACTTCAAAGTAGCTTTCAAAAATTATACAACAATTCGAACACTTTTTTCCAAAATTAAAGATCCCACATCAATACATAAATCTGACGTAATCTAGAAGATCAACTGTTTAAACTTCCGGCAACTTACATCGATCTTACATCTCATCTGGACAAGAGAGTAAAGCAACATATCTATGATTGCAAAAAACCCAAGCAAATCCTACAGCTGACTACCCATCATTTTGAACACAAACACAATTTCGACTTCAACAATCCAAAAATATTACGCACAGAACAAAACAAACATAAACGTAACTTTTTTAGAAATGTGTGGTGATTAGTGACCGTTAATCGATATTTATTTAGAAATCGTGAGATGCGGTCTGGTGTGATGTAGGTTTCAGAAAAACATTTTCTTTATCGTGCCAACGTTTCGATCTTTATTGAGATCATCTTCAAGGCCTGGGATTTACAAACATTGTGTACATATTACAATTACATTTTGGATGTGGAAAACTGAATTTATACAATGCAAAATATATTTTTATTAATAAACACAAAATAGCAAAATCTCACTGGCACTCTCGACACGACACGCAATAATGACACAATTACACAGAAGACAAACACTTTGAGTGAGTAGAAATACTTTGATTGAATATATAAAAAAATATATTTTCCATTGTATAAATTCACTTTTCCACATCAAAAATGTAATTGTAATATGTAAACAATGTTTGTAAATCCCAGGCCCTGAAGATGATCTCAATTAAGATCGAAACGTTGGCACGATAAAGAAAATGTTTTTCTGAAACCTACATCACACGAGATCGCATCTCACGATTTCTAAATAAATATTTTTATAAATGGTTTACATCAACAGAGACAACACAGCATCAATTACAGAACAGATACATGTAAACTCAAATTCAATATAGATAACATAAATATATCATTACATTACATTCCACACATCAAATATTTTTCACATAGCCTAATTGTCCAACAATTTAGCTTTCCTTTTCCTATTTATCCCTTTCTGTATAATCCTGACAGGATAATCTGGCCGAACCATTACCAACGTTTTTTCCCTTCGTCGGCTGTTTTCACCTCAAAGAAGCCGACGCCTTATACAAAAATGTCTATTCTATACCTCCTTCCTTCCCCACCCCTTCAAAAACCAACATATATAAACATAAAACAGCAATATCTCACTGGCACTCTGAACACGACACGCAAGAATGGCACAATTACACAGAAGACAAACACTGAGTGAGTAGAAATACTTTGATTGAATATATAAAAATATATTTTGCATTGTAAATTAACTTTTTTCCACATCCTATATGTATTTGTTAAATTTAAACAACGTTTGTAAATCCCAGGCTCTGAAGATGATCTCAATAAAGATCGAAACGTTAGCACGGTAAAAAAATGTTTTTCTGAAACCTACATCACACCAGACCGCATCTCACCATCTCTGAACAATCATTTTTATAACAAAGTATTATAGCATAACAAGAGAAATAATACATAAAGTAGAATGTTTCAAGAACATATGCATATAATAATAACTAACATAATATATCCTAGACTAGAATTTTTTAAAATAAAAAAATAACATATCAAGACTATATTCATTATAATAAATGTCATTCTACCTCACTTGAAATTAACTAATTCAACTCACCACCAATAAGCGAGTATTATAACAATCGGCAATGAGATGAAAAGCTGGAATTTCCTCCATTCCCTCGTATAATAGGCGACCACGGACATTATTATTGTTCCCAGATTGAAAGGAATGTGTGTGAGCGTGGCCATTATCGTTCTCCAGGAGCCGTTCAATACTTCCATGCCTGGAAAAATGAATAATAATGTGAAAAGACAAGCGGAAAGATGATGGATAAAGCTGTTTTCACAGTTTTTCCTCTGATACTCGTTACACCTTTTTAACATATATTGATTGCGTCATCGATTTTGCTGACGGTATTTTCGCGTTGAGTTGGGTTAGGGTAAGTTTTGCTTAGGTAAGGGTAGAATTTCACTAGTTTTCGTGGTCCGCTTGACCAACTAAATCACGATAAAAAGGGAGTCACGGTAGCTCAAGCGGTAGAGTAGTGGCGTATCTAGCCGAAGGTCGTGGGTTCAAATCCCACTCGTGACACTACCTTTTTTATCTCAACTAAAAACCTTAATTAATTAAAATATATTAATTAGAATGAAGATTTTGACTTAAAAAAATTGCTTTTTTATGTAATCAGCGTCTTGCTATTCCAAACATATAACTCTGATGGGGCTTCATCTGACTTCCGTGTTTTTTCGGTCAATTTCAAATAAACGAATCGTGGGAAAAAAGTGGATCATTTGTCAAAAATTACAATTTTACGAAATCCACAAAATTATTTTTACACTCATTTTACATTACATGTAGCCAACTTCTTGCCTCTCCTTGCTTATAACCCTGATGTGGAGACATCCGACTTAGGTAGTTCCGGGTAAATTTCGATTTAAAAAAATCCATGTGTAACAATTGGCCCATATGAATGATTAAAATTTAAAAAATTAATAAAGAATGTTTAACGACCGCTTTAAATTCAGCCTGCGCATTTATTCTCCCTGTTTTTAATCCGAATGTTGCGTGATGTAACGTTGTTGTCCTTAGCCAAAAAACAATCAACTTAAAAAAAAAAAACATCATGGAACACAAGGAACCGAAATGTAAATAACATAATTTTGACAATCACAAACAATTGTTGTAAGCTACTTTAGATGCAGCCAGCGTTTTTTCACTCTCTACTTATGACCCTGATGTGGCTTTAGCTGAGTTCAATAAAAATTATAATATTGAAGTGCAGTGTATATTGAAAAAGGAAATTTTATTACAATTTGGTTTAGTCAAGTTTTAATAAAAGTATTGTTTTGAGTGTCGTCATATCTTGCCTCTCCCTGCTTATAACCCCAACGTCGATCGTTTCCTGGCCAGTATTAAAATACGTCCAAATCCAAATTAGAGGGACATTAAAGAGTTAAAATTTAAAAAAATTACAGGATATTTATAACCAATACTTAATATACAGCCAGGGACTTACTTTCTAGCCTCCCCCTGCTTAATACCCTGACATTGCCCCATCAACCGACATGAGATCAGAAATTAGTGGAATTTAAAAAACTTATATGTTAAATGCAATAGAAATCAGTGTGACAACCTTGTGACTAAAGAACAATTTAGATGACGTCGGAGTATTGCCTCTCCCCTCTTATAACGCTAACATCACATCTGACTTTGGTATTATCATTGGGATAAAAGTGGCTTATATGTTAAATGATAACAGTTTAAAAATCAGTTTGTAACAACCTTGTCATTTAGATGCCGGCCACGTATTGCCTCTCCCTCCTTATGACCCTAATATCACATCTGACTTTGGTATTATCATTGGGATAAAAGTGGCTTATATGTTAAATGATAACAGTTTAAAAATCAGTTTGTAACAACCTTGTGACTAAAGTACATTTAGATGCCGGCCACGTATTGCCTCTCCCTCCTTATGACCCTAATATCACATCTGACTTTGGTATTATCATTGGGATAAAAGTGGCTTATTTGTTAAATGATAACAGTTTAAAAATCAGTTTGTAACAACCTTGTGACTAAAGTACATTTAGATGCCGGCCACGTATTGCCTCTCCCCTCTTATAACCCTAACATCACATCTGACTTTGGTATTATCATTGGGATAAAAGTGGCTTATATGTTAAATGATAACAGTTTAAAAATCAGTTTGTAACAACCTTGTGACTAAAATACATTTAGATGCCATCGACATATTGCCTCTCCCTTCTTATAACCCTGACATCCCGACATCTGCAATTGGTATTATCATTGGGTTAAAGGTGGCTTATATGTTAAATGATGACAGTTTAAAAATCCGTTTGTGACAGTCATATAACTAAAGAACAATTTAGATGCCGTCGACGTATTGCCTCTCCCCTCTTATAACTCTAACATCACATCTGACTTGGGATAAAGGTGGTTTATATGTTAAATGATAATAGTTTAAAAATCAGTTTGTGACAACCTTGTGACTAAAGTACAATTTAGATGCCGTCGACGTATTGCCTCTCCCTTCTTATAACCCTAACATCACATCTGACTTTTGTCTTATCATTGCGATAAAAGTGGCTTATATGTTAAATGATAACAGTTTAAAAATCAGTTTGTGACAATCTTGTGACTAAAGTACATGTAGATGCCGTCGACGTATTGCCTCTCCCTTCTTATAACCCTGACATCCCGACATCTGTATTATCATTGGGCTAAAGGTGGCTTATATGTTAAATGATGACAGTTTAAAAATCCGTTTGTGACAACTTTGTGACTAAAGTACAATTTAGTTGACGTCGGAGTACTGAATCTTTTCTTATAACCCTAGGTAGCGTCATATTATTTACTTTTGGTCTATGTCAAAATCTAAAAGGTTTTTTAAATAATTTTTTTAATAATGCAGGTTTGCTATAAAAGTACCCGGTACGGTACTTACAAAGCACGAAGGAAATGGTCATCGATCCTCCTACGGCGATAGCCTGGATGAAGCGGAGGACGAGGAAGCCGAAGTACCATGGTACGAAGGCCGACCCTACTCCTGTCACGAGCTGCAAGACACCTGCGAATATCAAAGGTCCTTTTCTGCCAAACCTTTCCAAAAAAAAAAAAAAAAAGAAGACAATTACATTTAAAACAAAAGGAAACGATTAGTCCAGGACTTCGTGAATGTCACGGAGGATATTGCGCAACGTTCACATATTTATGAATATGAAAATTGTTCGCAATTTGGCACGATTGTCTTTTTCCGTTCTGTCTTTTAAAAATACAGAAAAATTGGTCTGTTGAAACCCACCTGTCGGAGGCCATGCTAAAAGTAAACGTCCCGATCATGATTCCGATCATGAACGTCATCTGAGATAGGTTGGTCAACTGCTTGTGATCGCAGACCAAATTCCACTGTTAAAACACAAGAAAAAGTTAAAAAGGAATTCCTTGAAAGACTTATTATCGAATTTACCTCGGTCGTAATTGTCTCTTTGAAAACCGTCCTGTTATAAGTCCAATGGGTGCACTTATCACCATGGCTGTCCGTGCATTGTTCTTCCGAGCCTGGAAACAAATCACGTTGATAATTTTCCACCGAAACCTTTCTTTTTTTACAAAATAATATAAAAGTGTTTAGTCCTTGTAACATTAATTTGCGCGGTACAAGGCTGAAAGAACGAAATAGCGAGGCTATAGTGAAAATATGTTTTTCTGCGTTTTCTGTTCGTTATTAAAAAATCAAGATTAATTTATAATTGTTTTATTGAAAACGTTGGATACAAACCAGTGCAGGTGAAAGGTACAGGTGCCCCCATGAATATGAGTCCAAGGAGAGTCCAGGCGGTTGGGAATTTGAGAAGGGCCATCAAAAGGAAGATTTTCACTTGCCATGGGCCCACATCTCCCATTGCGGAGAGTGCGACCGCCTCTCGTCCGTCCATCTACGCAAAAAAAAAAATATATCCAAGATGGTATAATAAAAATCCATTCCCTGTTTACCCTTTGCTCTTAAACAGGCTAAAGTTACAATTTGAAAGAAATCGTGAAGAAAATGATGTCTGTAACTAAACGGATGTTCAAAGGTACCAAAATCCTTTTGGCCCGGGTTCAAGACTATGTTTTCGTCCTAACTAGGTCGAAATGGCGACACGTTCACCCTTTTCCTAACAAGTTTACGAAGGGGATCGCCTCCCTTGGGAATAAACACTGATCCAACAGTCATTTTAATTGATTTACGTTATAAGGGGAATATTGGGCAAACGAGCCCCGGAGGGTCCTGTTTTATTATGGCGATTACTGAGTTTCTTGAACAACCAAGAATCAGGAATTTTTAAAAAATAAAATTTATTTATAAAATATACAATCACAACACTTAAAGTAACTTTTGTCATTATAACATTCAACTTTGGTGTCGCAAACTTGGGGGCCAACAAACCATTTTACAATACTTCTTTCATTCTATTCTCAATTAAATAGCGATGGGCTGAGACGGGATTCGAACCCAGGACCGCTAGTGTTTAGGCTAGATAAGTACTCAAAATATTTATGAATTTATAAATAAAGTTATATAAATAAGTTATAAATATATATAAATTTATAAATTCTCATAATATTTTTATATTGGTAGTTCATTTGTGGGTCAATTTTTATGAAATGAAATGAAAATGTAATTTTTTCAATAGTATAATTGAATAGTTACAAAAAGTTAAGTTATAAAAATAAATAAAAGCATACTACGGCTATGGTTGACAACCGTCTGCCGGAAAAACGGGCAAAATTTTTTATTATTATTATTTTTTTAAATAAACAAGCATAGGAAACTATTATTTACACTAAATTCTAACAATTTGTGCAAGGCATCTCATTTCTAATCTCTAGGAAAAAAAGACCTGTTAAATCAAATATTACGTGAAATAAAACCATCTTTAATAGTTAAAATATGAAAACAATTCTTTCCTGTAACTCCAGGCTTCTTTAACAAAGTTTACGAAGTAGAAACGTTGAGAATTATTGAATGAGGCGATTGTATATACTCTTGTAAATGTGAACAGATATTTCAATCTGTCAGTTTTTATATTAACTTCACAAGTTTTCGTGGTCCGCTTGACTAATTAATATCTTTCAATTAATTAAGGTTTTAGTTGAGATAAAAAAGTCAGTGTCCGAGCGGGATTCGAACCCTCGATCTTCGGATGGATACGCCGCTGCTCTACCACTTGAGCTATCGTGACTTCGATCAACTCGGACACTAACTTCCCATCTCAACCCCACCTTTTGAATTTTGATGATAGCTCACGATAGCTCATTATATATATATATATNTTTTTTTTTTTGCTATGAAACGGGTCCCGTTACACAAACCGTCTCCTGGGCATGAATTTCTCGAAATCATAACTTATATATATATATATACACATAGTTACCTCCAGAGACTTCGTGTAGCATTTATTAGTTCCTCCTCCAGGAAACAATACCTTAGGCTATTATGGATAGATTAGATATTATGGATTGATTCAAAATAATTACTCTAAACAACTAATAAATCTAAAATGAAAAGAAATTTTTTTTTACAATAACCGCAATAGAGATAGTGGTGAAAAACAAAACAAAAAACTGTATTGGTTTTATATACATTGCTAGTTTAACAGACGAAATACGTAAAGTAATAAAAAAGAAAATTTTGTATGGATTTCTGATTTTATAGCTACTTAAATAAAAATTAAGTATTGTCATTCCAACAATTAGTCACAAAATGAATATAATGGGACAAAGAAAAATTGTTTGCTCATTAAAGTGAGTTTGTAACAAGAGTTACGTTGAAATAAACTTATTTCGTAAAAACAGAATAAAATATGACGATTTTTTCGGCCATAAATCAGCCACAAACCACAGGATTAGCTCAACATGTTTTTGAGGAACGTAAATTTGAATTTCAAAATGCTAAAATCCTTAAAATAGAAAAAAAAGAAATCAAATACACGTAAATATAACTGAAAACAATGTTAATATAAAAACTGACAGATTGAGATATTTAGGTTTTCAGCGTTTCAACTTCGTAAACTTTGTTGAATTAATTTCATATTTTAAGTATTAAAGATGTTTTTATTTTACTTAATATTTTATTTAAGAGGTCTTTTTTTCCTAGAGATTACTAATGAGATGCCTTGCACAAATTGTTAGAATTTAGTGTAAATAATAGTTTCATCCGCTTGTTTATTAAAAGAAATAATAATAATAAAATTTTTTGCCCCCAATACCATACCAAAATTTGGTCACCGAGTAAAAATCGGTCTTTCAAGTATAAAAATTTGAAGTTAAATATAAAAAAAATTAAGAAATTAGATTAGTTGTCTTTTAGTGTGCACTGTTGGACGAACAATTACTGTTTAATGCATATCTGCTATTGTATTTCGAGTGAAATACCTTAAGCGGCCCATAGACGATCAATATTATTGCACAATATTTAATTGATTTGCAATTTAATTGATCGTGTGAAGACGATATTGAAAGTTTGTGCAATACATTGCATGATTGACGAAAAGTTGAAAATATATTGTACAACCTGTAAAATATTGCACCGTCTGTTGGCATGATTGCGCAATATCAGCCATTTTGTGAAGTACAACAAGTAGTAACAAAATATTGCACAAACTTCAATATCGTCTTCAAACTATTCAAGTTCATTGCACAAACAAAATTTTGTACAATATTATTGAACGTTAAGGTGGCAACCGTCAAATTATTGTGCAATCTATATTGTACAATAATATTGACCGTCTATGGGCCGCTTAAGGCTTTTTTTATTATGCACTGATAGTCCAGGTATTTTACTTGCTTTTTAGAATAAAAAATTCCAAACTTCAGAGGGAAAAAATTGTTCAACCCGCAATTCTATCAGATGTAGAGGGAAATATATGTTTGTTTGAAATTATTATTTCGCCCTGACCTGTTTTACCTTTTCTAGAGTGGATTCGAGTCAATTGGACCTTTATTCCACTCAAATTCGTTGATGACATTTTCAATTTATTTCGAGACGTCGGTTTGAATATAAATTCGGTTTAACAGACCCGAGGGTCGTGGATTTAACACTTAAGGAATTGACTTTGTAACTTGACCTCGAACTCCTGTTTGTAATCCGCGGCATCCGCGAGGAAATTTAAATTCTTAAAAAAAACGTAAGCAAAAAACCCAGAGGTTTATGACAAAGCAAATAGAATTAGAGAATTGGATAGAATGAAAAACCTCCGTTTTGTAATTTTGAGGTGTTTCACGTTATGCTTGTTAATCAACTGCAAACAAAATTTGTACAAAGAGACCGAAGTATGAAAAAAAAGAAAAAGGTCAATACAGCTAGAATGTTTCAACGCGAAGCAGAATGAAAACCCTGTGAATTTAAAATATAATTTAATCACTTTTCTCCCGTCTCTAATCAGAATTACTGTTTTATTTGTACGGGAAAAATGGGAAAGTACGTTTTAATTACACCTATCAAGACGATTGTTTTAAATAAATATAAAAATTACATCCTTCCAGAAAGATTTATCAAAGTTTTCAATAAAAATGTTTCATGTTTTTCTCCTGGAAAAAATAAATAACGATTCCATTTATTTGTATTTTTCTGTAGGTTGTAAGGACGATTATTTGATAAAATTATTAGAAAAGGCGTGATAGCAATTAAGCTTAGACTTTATCCAACTGGAAGAAATCAATTTTCCCAGTGCATTTTTTTAACAAAATAAAATTGAAATTTGGTCGGATTTTTCCCCTTCAGTGGCTCGTTGTAGATTCGTTCCGTTCATTTTCAACGCTAATCAAAATTAATTATCCGGTCCCCTTGTTCTCGCTCGACATATGACCTTACGACATGATTTCGGATTAAACGCTAAAAAAAGCCCTGGCTTGTCTACACGCATTTACCATAATTTACACTGTTTTTATTTTAAATTTCTGACCTATATTATGAAAATAATGGGGTATCGCCTATTTCCGGTGTACGCTACGGAAGAAAATATTTAAAGGTTAAATTTTGACATTTTATTATTTTTTCTTATGTCACTACCTAATCATGTCGATACTATTAATATTTCAAAAATATTTCTGATCCGGTGATTCATTGGGTTTAACAAGAACGATAAGATGTACGAAAAGCCCTTTGATATTTCCCTGAAGTTTGTAGATATGAAAATTTGGGTTGCGATTAGTAATAACTGCCCTAAATATTATCAAAAACGAAAGGTTTAACCTAAAAAAACGATATTGTGTTTTAATATGGCAGTTTTCCTTTCAATTTTTCAATTAAGTTTAAGTAAGCATTGTAGAAAGATGGCGTTAGAAGATGGCTTTAAATATCCCATAAGAAAACATTTTTCATAACTTCGTCAACAGGTATTAAGCCAGGAAACTTAAATAAGTACTTACTTTAGAGATAAATAAATCTTTCTAACAATTTACGTTGTTTCCTGTAAATCCCATATTTTTATGCAAAATTGGTTTTACGACTATTATTTTCAAGAACGGACTACTCATTGTTCATGGGGCTCAGGTCTCGCATTAAATTTCCTTAGCTCATAGCTTGTCAAATAATATAAAATACCTATGTCTAATGAAAAAATTCAAAACCGTGGAACGGCTTCGGGCTATTTAGATAATTTACGGAGTTAACGACCTGGGTCCGTAGAGTTTCATGTCGTTCCGACGTCAAACCAAGTTGCTAGAGATTGCGGTCTGGTTGTCCTGCTTCGAACAAAAATATCCTCTTCCCCAATTTTTAATTTTCAGTTTCGTCCAGGTAAAATCCCTCTTTTCCTAATTATATTTCTGACTAATATCGGACACATTTATGTGATGGCTAATATATTTTTTTTTGGTTAAATGCGAAAATACGTTGCGTTGGGGGGTTCATATATATATGTACTGCTCAAAAATGAATAGGGATTTTTGT